TATTTTTCCAACGCTGGATGATCACTTTGACTATGATCATTGTAACGAAGACTTACATGTTGTTCAATTGATAAAAAAAAATTGCTGCTAGATTTTTAACCATTAGATTCAAAACGTATGGTCAAAAATATTACCGCGAACTTATTCAAGGATTAAAAGCAGGTCTTCGACAGAAATTAAACAAAAGTGTTATTTTTCTTGGACTATAATTGTTAGCAATTTGTTATTGAATCAGTGTCAAAATGTGTGACTTTTTAACAAATTTTGCTTTACTTAGTTTGAATAAAAGTAATTTTACAAAATGTTTTATCTTTTATATAATTATTTTTAATTATTATAATTAACTTTAATTATTATAATTATTTTCATTTTTTTAATTGTACCTTTGTTAATATACAAATACTTCTACTGTTTTATTTTTGGTTTCCTAATGTTAAAATATGTTTTAAACTTAAGAAATCTTCATGATTTGAAATTTGCTTAATTAATTATTAGCCAACAGTTTAGGAAAATAAATTGAGTTTAATATAACAAGGTAATAAAGATAATTTTATTTATACTCATGCGATTAATGTTATTGTAAACATATATTAAATTAAATCTGAAATTATTTTTTTTTTATTAAAAACATTTTTAGAGGTGCCAATACATTTAACGAATCTCTAATATTATCAAATATTTCAAAATTAAGTCATGTTTGGTCTCAAATCTAATTTAAACATAATTAAATGAAAATTTGAAATATATATATATATATATATATATATATATATATATATATATATATATATATATATATATATATATATATATATATACATATAGTTAAAAATATAGTGAAAGTTTGTTTTGTTGCCCATTTGCATATTGCGTAGGCATTTTTTGTATTTACAAACTAAGTTTTCTCATTTAAAATACTCTTACCATTCTAATCAAAAACTCATTTATAAAAATTAAACAAAAAAATACGATATCTAATTTCCAACATCTCAAAATAAAACTATTTCTATTCAAGTTTTTACATGAACACATTTAAGTGTGAAGATTGTAATTATTGTTATTTTTAATTACCTAACTTTGATTAATATCAAAAGTATGCGGTTGTGCCTCCTGTGCGTCTATGCGGTTCTGCCCCAGAGGACAGTTTTTAGAAAGAACACAGTTTCATAGCTTGTTTATTAGGTTATATTGATATTAAAAATGGTTTTTACTTGGTTTAAATAACGCTGATAACACATACTTTTAACACTAAAACCAAATATTGCTTAATCCTCAAAAAAAAAAAAAGGTCTTAAAAAATATGATGTTAATATAATATTTTTACCAAAATAAACATTATTATGCATAACTTCTTTACTAATGCGTGATATGCTTTTTGCCATATTAGATATCATTTTTCAAAGGGAAATGTTAAAAAATCCCTATATGTGATTTGTTTTGTTAATAACATGCTTTGTAAATTTATTTTAGGTGGGCATATGGAGTTGTTTTGTTTGAAATTGTTACGCTAGGTACGTTTAAATAAAAAAAAGTGTCCTATAAAAAATTGTTGTAAGTTGTGTTATTTTGAGTGCACTTATTATTCGCTTTACAGGAGGATCGCCTTATCCTACAATAAGTAATCGTGAATTGCTAAAACTTCTCAAGTCTGGTTACAGGATGGATCGACCAGAAAATTGTTCTCAAGCAATGTAATTTGTTTATTTATTTTATGTTTTAAAATATTTTAACCCTTGAAAATGATTTTTTGCAGAGTATCATTTTTTTTTTAATTTCAGGTATGATATTATGGTACAGTGTTGGAGTGATGATCCTTTACTCCGACCATCTTTTACCGTATTACGCAAGCTTTTTGAGAAAATAGTTTCTCAAGGTGACAGTTATTTGAGTTTTGATATCAACGAAGAACATAGTTATTACAAGGTACCCTCATTCCATAGCATATCGTCTGATACAAGTGATATTTTGGAAGGGGAATTTTTTAAAGCGTCTATTCTAGAAACATCGGTCTAAGAAACATCGGTCTGAGAAAATATAGTAATTATTACAGAAGATATATATATATATATATATATATATATATATATATATATATATATATATATATATATATATATATATATATCTGTGTGTGTGTGTGTGTGTAAGTGTAAGTGTAAGTGTGTATAAATACATACATACATATATATAGGGCTGTCCTGAAGAGGTCTCTAATGGGGGGTGTTGTATGTGTATTTTGCCAACTAAGGACACTAAAAAAACAAAAAAAAGGTCCTCGATATTTGACATTGGCCAACTATGCTTCAAAACTTGCCAACTGAAATGCTAAATGTAATGTGCCAACTCAAATGCATATATAACAGCTTGGGGGGGGGGGGGGTTGGACAGCCCCTACACCCCCCGTTTGGGACGGCCCTGCATATATATATATATATATATATATATATATATATATATATATATATATATATATATATATATATATATATATATATATATATATATATATATATACATTCATACACATATATATACATTCATACACATATACATACATACACACATACATGCATACATACATACATGCATACATACATACATACATACATACATACATACATACATACATACATACATAACAATTCTTATTAATAAATAAAAAAATTGACGAATATTTTTAAGGTATTAATATTTTTAGTTTATTAATTTGTATATTTTTTCTTATTTCTTTTTATTTATATAATAAACTTTTATTTATTATTATTTGATAAACTTTTATTTATCATTTTTATTTGGTAAATTTTTAATTAGTTATTACTACTTTTTTGGCAAATTTAAAGGTTTTGTATTTATGAAATGTCAAATTTTTATTTATGAAATGTTCATTTGAAAATTATGAAATATATATACGCGTTCATGAGGCGTTTATACCCTGTTGTTTGAGTAACGTGTTTTTTTTACAAAAAGTTGTTAGAAAAAAACATAAAAAACATGGCTTTAAAACTTAATTAAAAACCAATTTAAAAAAAGAGCATCTTGTTTTTAATTGGTTTCTATAGAAAAACCCCTAGTTTTTCATCAAACCTATTATGTTATATATATATATATATATATATATATATATATATATATATATATATATATATATATATATATATATATATATATATATATATATATATATATATATATATATATTTATTCAAGTTTATAAATATATTATCATTTTATTAAATACCCTCTGTAAAATATAATTACAAGATAAAAATGCTAACTAAGAAAAAAAGAGAGATAAAAAAAATATCATTTAGGAATGTTTTGTTCAAGTGTGTTTTTAAAAATTGTTTGCTGTTGTTTTACATTGCAGCATTGAACCGCCTGTATGATCTTAAGCTAGGAGTGTCTCACTCCTAGCTTAAGATTAAGTGACATTGATTTGGAACCTAGTTATGAGACATTTGCACTGCCGGTACGGTATAAAAAAGATATTGTGTTAACTATTTGGAGAGCTAGATTTTTAATAAAAAAAAGATTTAAAAAAAAAAAATCTCAGTTGCAGCTGTCAAAAGCCTTTTCAGCATCTAGTGAACATAAATAAATTGCGAGGTTAGAATTGTTTTGTTCTATCTCCACATTTTTTTGTTTTGAGATACGATTTAAAAAATAAAAACTTTAGGAGAAAAAAAAAGATTTTTATTACTTATGTTTTCTCCGGTTTTAACTTAGGTTTTAATATAGTAGAAAAACATTATTTTGAGGTACATGACACAATCGATAACTCGATTTTTTTCAAAAAGTGGAGATAAAAAATAATTTTAACCTCGCAAAATAGGCGAATTATTGCAATTATAATGCTTAATTGTTTCGCTTACAACAAATTCAGCAAGTTTAGTATATATTGGAATAACGCTGATACCGCGTTAATTGTTTGGATTTACCGACCCAAACAATTACCGCGGTAATTGTTTGGACTTACCGATCCAAACAATTACCGCGGTATCCTATAGGAATAAACTACAGGCATAATAGTTGACGTTGACATTGGTGTAGGGTTCCATCCGTGATTAATTAAAAAGTGAAATAATTTTTTTAACCATTGTGTTAGAACGTCACATTGGGCATGTTTTAAATGTTCTGCTGAGACAGGGGTTGTCCATAAAGTACGTACGCCAAACGTTTTGAAATTAGGGCCAACGTTGGCAATCAACGAACGTTATACTAAACGCCCACTATACAAAATTGTCCAATTAAACTACTTTTTTCATCAATTTTCACTAATTATATATATATATATATATATATATATATATATATATATATATATATATATATATACACATATATATAAATTTTATATAATTATATAAAAATAATTATTATATTTATTATGTTTGTTATGTTTTTTTTTTTTTACTTTTTGTTAAAATAAGTTAAAAACAAAAAACGTTTATTGAATTTATATAATATATTGTTTGTTAATAAATTACAAGTTAGTAAATTTGCATTAAAAATATATAAAAAATAAATGCATTAAATTTATCATTAATAATATAAATACTTGTACAGCTTATAATGTATAATGTAAAATTAATATAAAACGTAATAAATAAAACTGATCATGCAAGACTTTGAGAACATTATACTTTGTCAGATTCATCAAAAATAAAGCGTTCAAATCGTGGTAATGATAATCCAGATAAAGGTTTCAATGTCAATGATTGGGAAGTAGGGATGTACCGAAGCTGAAATTTTGCCGAAGCCACTTTGCCGAAGCCGAAGCTTCGGCACTATATATGCTTAAAATTTAATCAGCATTCAGATCAGCAGGGGTGTAAAACAAAAAAGGTACCAAAACTAAGGTCCTTGACTAATAATATAGAAAAATTTTTTAAAAATGAGGACGCCAGTCACTGTTGCTGTTCCAGGCAGGGCAAAAGCTCTCAGCGCCCCTGTTTAAAAGTTTCTCATTATGTCGTTTCTGATACTTGACCGCATCGAGCGTTTTTTTTTTAAACTTAAGCTTTTTTGAAACATTCTCCCCAAATTTTCCTACTTCTAGTTCTACTTTTTCTGTGTGCAAACCATATTAATGTTATATAGCATTTTTTCATGTGCTGTATATTTTATTTTTATTTTTAATGCACCTTTTGTTAAATAGAAGTGGATAAAAATCTCTGAACATTACTAGAGTAAATTTATCTTTTGCACTTGATCACTCTTTCTTTAAATAAACACTCTTAACTGATCTAGTTGTATCTACAACATAAAAAATCTTAGAAACACACTTTATCTTTTTATTGCTATTTATTTCAATATCTTTTTTTTACTTCTCTGTATTCTTTAAACGAACAATTTCTAAACTAAAAAAAACCCAAGTTAAGACCATTTTGGATTCCACTACAACTGTTGTGCTCCTGCTGTTAAAAAAAAGTACAAATGATAGATTTCTCTCTAACTTCTTTTTTACACACTTTTAAGTATTTTTTTTTTTTTTTTGATTATTTTCAACTTAACACTACATAACATTTTCTATAGCTTTTTTTAATCTTTTATACTTTGAAATCTTAGTATTCATTCTTCTTCAGTCTCTATAATGGATAAATCTGCATCAGTATCTGAAATCAAATATTAACTATCTGTGATAAAAACTTCCAAAGTAATCTAACAACTCTGTAGAGTGAGCTTTAAATAAAATAATAAATAGAATACTTTACAAATTTTTTATTTATAATTATATTATTATTTACTTTATATTTATAAATAAACAGGGACTGAGCAGGCTGATATTTATTTGATTTAAATTGTTTATTTAAAATAAATTTTGATGATAAATATAAGAGTTCAAAGTAATCAAAGCTTCAACCTTTAATTTATTTTAAATAAAATTTAAAAGTCTTCATAATATCATAAGAAGAAACCAGAATATTGGTTTATATGTTTAATATATAAATTCAATTTAGAAGTATTCATAATATTAATAAAAGAGCAAGGATAGTTATTATCATTGTTTTTCTTTTTCTTTTAATTTATCTAGTTTTTGTTGGCTTTTTTTTTCTTTTTTTATTCTCCTCGTTTATATTTCATTTGCTTTTCTTCCTTTTTTGTTGTTGAGAACTTTTTGTTTTTTATGTGTCACTCCATTGACTATTTTATATCTATATAAGTGACACCTAACCAATTTCTGTAAATTTACGATGAAAATTGGTAAATTTTTATTAATATGGTTAAATAAAATTTTAAAAAATTAAACATACACACAATTTAAAATAGTAGCAACGTATCTTTAATCTTCTTTAAAGAGAGATTACAAGGTTTATCGGTCAAATGTTGAAACCAAATTTTGTTCTATTTGCGGTAATCCCACACAATAATTAATATGAATTCGTTATTAAGGTTTTAAAAACTTTTAATTTGTTTTAAATTAAAAGGTTTTTATTCTGCATAGAAATGCTGCTTCAGTTCATCTAAAGTCACACTTGGAAGCTTTCAAAGTGTTTGAGGACCTTCCTTAATTTTATTATTTTTTTCAAAATATTTTTACTTATTTATTATTATCCCCTCCATAACAAGACACTTGGGAGTAAATAATACTAAGTATATGGTAAAGACTCCAACTTTAACTCTGTAGTCCTAAATTTATAACTTTATTAGACGCTGGCAATTAGCTTATTTTTATAACTTTTCCCACAGTAGCTTATAAATTTAATTAATTAAAATTTTTTGCCGAAGCCAAAGATTCGGCAAAAAATTGACCTGGCTTCGGCCGAACCGAAGCTTCGGCAAAGTTGCCGAAGCCGAAGCTTCGGTACATCCCTATTGGGAAGTATAGCCACTATTTTTTTTGATCTGGTTTTCTGGATGGACTTTTTTTCTGCTCTTTCTTTTCTGCCTCTATTTCTGTCTAGAGCTCCAGAAAAAAAAGCCACAACTGCTTTTAAATTTCACTTGCTTCTATAAACATAAACGCAGTCATATATCAAGTGTTTTTATGAACAAAATTATAAGAGTATAACTAAATATAGCTGTTGTATATATCTGTATATGTCTGTATGTGGAATATATAATATATATACATATACATATATATATATATATATATATATATATATATATATATATATATATATATATATATATATATATATATATATATATATATATATATATATATATATGTATATATATATGTATATATATATATATATATATATATATATATATTTTTATATATATATATATGTGTGTGTGTGTGTGTGTATATATATATATATATATATATATATATATATATATATATATATATATATATATATATATATATATATATATATATATATATATATATTTAAATTTAATAAATGACAATAAAGTGAAGAAAACAATGAAAGACAATTTTAAGTATTTATATTTATTTATTATTATATTTATAAACCTACTTTCAATAACTTGACAAAATTTAAGAATTCGGAAAGACTTTTTTTGAAGATCACCTTGCCCTGT